TAAATATACAAAGTGCATCAAAATTGAAAAACTTAATTTACAATGAGATATGGGATTCAAGGAAATTGGTTTCACTGGAACTATTCTAAAAAAGTTTTTACCAATTTTAATAACACTTTGGTTTATGTAAATTGTTGATACACCTACAATTTTTTTTCAGCCAAACATTTTAATGTTTCAGCATTGACGTCCTGGCTGCATTCAAACCAGGAATTTGTGTGATCTTAAACATTAATTCCTCAGCTAGACATCCAGACTAGACAATTGACATCCAGACTAGACAAATACCTCAGCTAGACAATTGATCCCTGAATGTTCTCTAAAAGATTCCTCTCAGGCAGTTTTCAAAAATATATATAAAAAGAGCAACCCAATTGGAGAGTTGCTAGCATTGAAACTAAAGAAGACAAGGCTAAAATAACTGTCGCAGTTTTCGGAACAATTTGGACTACATCGCCGCCACTTATTTTTCATAGTGACCCTTGCTCTTGGAGAAAAAGCACTTATTTGCAAAAATTTTGAAATTTTTTTTGAGTAGATCTAATATGTGTAGTGAGTTACTTTGTTTGAAGGCGTCCGAATATCCCGTTTTTATTAATTTAATGATATTTATATATTAGTCTTAACGAAAATCTGACAATTATTTTTTCTATCAAACAATGTTTTTTTTTAAATAATTTTTTCAATAAGACGTCCTGGCCGACCTAAAATCGAGATCATAGATATAAACGGTACCGCTAAAACAGTTAAGCATAAAAAAACTTTTTCGATTGATTTTTGAGATTGATTGCAGTTATTCAAGGAGGGATAGACTGTTAGGTTAGGCTTGATCAAACTGGGCCCCTGAAACAATTTCAATTACCAAAAAAAAATTCAAAAAAACAGAATGAAAATAGACTGATTTTTGATGACATCCAGATTTCTCTAACCTCTGAGCGTCCTCCATGTCACTGTCAGATTATTTTCAAAAGCTTCGTTAGTTGCAACCTATTGGAGGCCTGCAACTTATCAGACCCGCATCTAAGAAAAAAGGAGATAAAATAAATTATAATGGATTTTTGGGTCTAATTTTTTTAATCAATATAATCGATTCCCATCTTGCCCTCAGACAACAAAATGAAACAAGAAATCGGTCATATTCCATTGTTTATATCAAAATTAATTTTAATTATAATCCATTTACAATCAATGAAAATGGTTTGTTTACACTTTGTTTTGGTTTCGCGTCGTGTAAAATTGTGCGGGAATTTCTTCATTTATCAAATGAGTATTGCAGAAAATCTTTAAAGCAAGTGTTCGTACGGCCTACTCGATTTCTTAACCTAAGCTTTCTTACAATGCAAAGCGATTCCGTTACACCCCTAAAGTTTGCCTCTTTGCAGCCTTACAACTGCCGGGTCTAAAACACAAAACGGCCCAAAATCAGTGTTTTAGTATCGTGAGCAAATCTTTATGCAGTCCAATCTGATTGGCCGATTTTAGGCAATCAAATTCAAGCAACATAGTCCGTCAATTCAATCAAACTTTCAATCAAGCACAAGCAGATAAAAATATTAGACAGAAATATCAATTTGGGAAACTTTGTTTAATAATTACGTTACTTTCGAGTAAGTTGGGAAGTTTTGCCCATACGAAAAAAAATTCAGTAAAATGGCTTCCGCAGAATACATTTCTATAGTTTTGGCTATTTGGGCCAACAATTTTATCTGCTGGAAATTTTGATTGAAATGCCGGGCCATGCTCATTGATTTTCAACGTCTTATTAGCCAATCAGATTCAACCTTAATAATTTGAGATTGAATCTGAACAAAAAGGATGTAGAAATAATTATTTTGGGCCGTTTAGTGCACAAGACCCCAACCCCCCCCCCCCTCCCACCTGAGCTAACCCAACCCCCTCCTGATCCAACCCCCTCATGGTCCAATCCAACCAACCCCAAGAACCGCACCCAACCCTCCCTCCCCCCACCCAACTGATCCGTTTCGAGCGGTGGTAGGGCTCGAAACGACTGCTTTAAACTACAACGACGCCGCTAATTTTTCAGTTTTTCGAAGCTTTTCAGTGGAATAAATTGACTAATATTCCCAGCGATATAGCTCCTGGAGTTGCAAAAAAATCCAGGAGATATTACGAAACCATTCGTTAATCCTGTAGTTGGTCTACGTATTGTCTGACGCTGATAAAACTGAAAAAAATGTCATTCGGATACAAAGATTTGTTAGGATCCAAACATTTTCCTTCTCTCCCAAAATTTAGAAAGGGGTTGTAACTTTAAAAACAAATCTAACACTAGGCTTACATTGCTCTAAGCTAACAAAATTGAGCAATTAATTGAAACTTTTGGGGGGGGGGGCAAAAGCTCCAACTACGCCAAGTAAATCTAAGTGAGGGTCATGACAGTCTCTTCTGGAGCCCTAGTGCGCGAGCTGTGAGCTCAGCCCAACTCTTTTGTGTACCGTATACGCTCACTGGGATGAATTGGAAAGAAACAATCTCCTTTCAGCATCGTGAACGTGAACTTTTTACACTGATAAAAGAATTGTTTCATTTCATTTGAACTTCATTATCTAATAATTCAAATTGCCTTTTAACCAAATTCAAATGTATTGGTTGCTACCTCATTTTTTATTGCGACTTTTTTAAACTTACTTGGCATGTCATAATTTGCTATTAGATGACTAAGCAGAGCTTGATACCTAATAAGTATCAAATTGATGCAGCCCGGGTGGAAATTGGGGGGGGGGGGGGGGGGATTGCAAACATCTTATCAGGCTGGTTTGAAATTCTATTTTCGGAGAATTAGACTACCAACTTTCACCATTAACTAAATGAGAAGGAGAGGCAAGTGAAGCGGGCAGAAGCTCAGCCACAGGAATAAAATCTAAAGATGGCAAAACTTGGAGTTGGAAGACGATGTTTCTAAATCACAAATCAACCATTGATACTAAACCAGAAAACCGAAAAAAATTTTACGCCAGAAATCCGGATCCTGGAGGAAGTTCCTCCGGTCTCCAGGGCGTTGGAAGTCAAACACCCGAGCATACTGCAGACACAACCGCGGCTCCAGAAGCCAAATTGATAGCCTGACCTCGGGTGATCGCAGCCCGAGAAAATGACTCAAGTCGCGAGCAGTATACGTGCCAATGTTGCCCCTCTCCCATCAGCGCCCTAACCAGCGCCGAAACCCAGAAAAACGATTTCGCTGAAGAGCAGCAGAGCAGAATGCAAAGTTTTATGAAACGGTTGAAAACAGGCTCCAATAAAATAACTGGAAACTTCCAAAGAAGCCAGCAAAATACTCACTTCGGACCAGCTCCTGCACGAAGTTGAAGCCCGGAGAAACGAGAGACCTGACAGCGAGTACAGAGGTTCTCTTGGATGCGGCTAGATCACTTGGCGCTCGATAGCTCCAAGACTTACCGCAATCCAGATCTGTAAGAGTTGGCAAATAGAGCGGACGCACGAAATACTGCAACTGTACCAAAGACCCGCCGATGTCACCGATTAATTTGAAATTGGTCACAACATTGCTGTTGAAGTGCTCAGGATTTCTTTGAGGAGAAGGGACTGTTTTCGCATTTTTTGCGGAGCAATTTGCTTTTCCGAGCTCAATTTTCTAAAAAGTTTTGTCACAGGCAAAATTTTTATTAAAGAAAAAACAAGCCAAAATGGAATTGTAGAGCAGTTTTTGGAAGATTAAAAATTGCGCTTTTGGACGCTCGCAGAGTATGTTTTTTGTATATTGCTTAAAATAAAATTAAAAGCGGGACCTTTTGCCAAGTGTGGCAACCAGAATTCATGGGGGGAGGGGTGGCGTCGTTCGCGCATTGGAGTGTTTTTCTTGGTGGCTGGTACACAAATCAAAGTTATTAGAATTTGTGCGTAAACATGTGGTCGATAAGAATACCTATATTTATGTGCGTAATACAATTTTGGTCATTTTGAGAAAACGCACCTGGTTTTTGTTACTTATACGTTTGACAATGGTCTCGCTTGATTTTTACAAATTCTATCAATTTAGAATGACTACACATATTCAACTCTGTATCTGTTATTCTGCTTTTATTGTGCTTGTATCCGTATCTTTGCAGGACGAAGATAAAACGTGAGCAATGGGACAAATATATATTTCATTTTTAGTTTTAGTTGTATTTTTAGTTTTAGTTTTAGTTTTTCATTTTTAGTTTTAGTTTTAGTTTTTCATTTTTAGTTTTAGATGAAGCTATTTTTTTCGATACCCGGGGTCCTGGTTTTATAAGCCATCAAACCCCTTTTTTGGAAGCATTCAGTTTCCTTCCAATTTGTTTCAAATAATAAACAAGGATAGCGGGTTTTTGTGCGAGTAGCGCCGAAAATTCCGACCACAAAATAATTTATAAAAACAGTTTCATATTTTTTTCCAAATTATGTCATTTTTGTCCCCGGTGGATAAGATATTACCAAAATTAATTCTAAAATTTAATCAAATTCGATGGTATAAAAACTTTGAAAAAGAATAGAAAACCAAAAAAAATCAGAAAAAAAACTTTCTACTATGTTTTTGCAGAATTTTTCATTTGAGTTTCTATAAAATATTTTAAATTCCCAGGAAGGCGCTAATCATTCTCCTATTATTACTTGCTCGCACGCTTAATTCGTTCGAAATTGGGTTAAAAATTGAAAACATCAAACCAGTTTTTCTCAACACTGAGAGAATTTTTTGGAATTGAAATGATGTATCCCATGAGCCTTCTATGATTATTTGGGTAACTGATTTTGCGTGGAAACCAGAAAAAGCTAAAACAATAACGAAGACAAATTTCCTCCCGATGGTCGGAACAACAACGAAGGACGATAAGTAATGCCGTCTGATAAGGACTCGACTTTTCCAGTAATATTTGATTGGGAATTTTTCAGCTTCATTGAGGACTGGAATGAAAAAACACCAGCCATGGGCTACATGCATGACCACGTGGAGCCCCTGAAGTTCCTCTGTCTGAACTGTGGGGGAGGAGGGGAAGGGGAGGGGGGCAGAGTGGAACACTGCTGCGATGGATTCCTGGGAAAAGTGCCTCTGTGCTGCTCAAAAGACATGTACCAGATACAGGCTGCAACTAACATCTTGGCTGGTTAGCTGACATTACTATTGGCTCGGTATTAAGTTGAAGGAAGAATGGCGCAGAAGGATCAGAAGGAACACCAATTTCCAAAAAATCGCCTTGAAGACATTGGAACCGTTTGGCTACCATTTGAAACAAGACCCAAAATGTTTTTAGATTGATCACAATTCCCACAATCTCAAAAACAAGGTACTCCTTGCGTCTTAGGATTGAATCTATATAAATTTTGATACTTTTGTTCTTTCATCAGAGGCGCAGAAGATTCTAGAAGACTCGCAGACGCTGATGACGTGCCAGAATAACGACCAGTGTCCAGATGTAGCGTCCACAATTACCCAAGCATTCGACGAATTCATCGTTAAAGGCTCGTCTGCGTTTAGTAACGTTTTCAACAAAAAAAATTTCACAAAAATTAGTTATTTTCAAAACAATTTCTCTAAAATAATGTAGTGAATGCAAACAAAATAAAATTAATTCATTTTTTAAGAAGCAGTTTAAAAAACTTTAAAAATAGAATTTAAAATCAATAAAGATCAAATTGAATTAAACTCTCGAAAAATTGAAACAGGCAATTACGACTAAATGGGAATTTTGATTCCCATTGAAGCCTATTTTTTTCACGCGGCTACTTTTGAATGAGCCTATTTTCTCGGAAAACGGGCTAAATGAGCCCGGTTTTAGTGAAAAGAGACGAAGAACCTCAATTTTTTCCAAACTTTCTCTAATAATTACCTAAAGGTTTTTTTTGGCGAAGTCCGATTTGTACCAAGGTTCATTTGTACCAAAATGAAAAATCGGTCCCATTTGTACCGAAATTATTCAACTCAATTTCTGATTGGTCGAATGGTGAGCCAACGAATTATTACAATAATTTTCTACTGTTCAAACAAAAGAAAGCTAAACAGCAGAATAGTGACCAGCGCAGTCGCGCCAACGTGTTGCCAGCTTGCCAACAGAGGGTAGGAATCTAACGAAAATTATAGCCGGTTATTGCCGCGAAGTAGCGCGCCCACCGGCGACCTTAAGCCAAGAGCCTAAAGGTGTCGACTTAGTAGTCTTTGGCTAAAAAAAATATTTTTGGTACTAACGCGATTGATTTTTTATTTTGATACAAATGGGGCTGATTTATCATTTTGGTTCTTGCGAATACCCCTCTTTTGTTTGAAGAGGCTGAACGAGCCTAAATTTTACAGAAAAGAGCTAAATAAGCTCAATTTTTAAAATGTGTTCCCTTTCACTGGTTCTTTTTTTGTTTATACTTGAGCTACCTTCAGGCGACTACTGTTGTCCCATCATCAGTTCCTGCTGTGAGTTCAACGACTATTTCTTCGCCAACCTGGAGGCTCTCTCTTACTCCTTCGGGGGACCAGTCATCTTCGGTTTCATCGTAGCCGCACTTCTACTCACCATTGTGCTCATGTGCTGTTGCTGTTGTTGCTGTTGCTGCTGCAGGAAATCGACAGCAGGAGTCGGCTTCTCATCCGCGTGACCACTTCCGCGTGAACACTTCGGCTTCTCATCCGCGTGACCACTTCCGCGTGAACACTTTGGCTTCTCATCCGCGTGAAAACTTCAAAAAGCATTTGACGACAAAATGCCAATATTCTTGAGTTTCTTCTTTGCAAAGACTACCTATTTTTCAGAGTGTATAAAAAAAACTATTGATTTTTGTTGTAACACGCGTCGGGTTTACGAGCACCGACAGGACGTGATGGCGCGGTCATATAAATTTGCAGTTTGCAAGCAACTGAAGATAACCATCTATGAGCGCTTTGCATTAAATATTATTATTGGCTAGTTACCGTTAGTGTTTTTGAGTTTGTTAATGTGTTTTTTTATTTTACTGACTTGCTCAGTTAGCAGATGAGTGTATTTTGACATCGATTTCCAATTTTGTACCAACGATATCAATAAAAAGTTGAAACTCTATAATTTGATTAGATCAATCTCTAATCTAAAGAGAGAACAGGAAAATTATAATGAAAACTGTGCTGCTTTGGGTCGACCTAGTAAACTTTTTTCGTCCTGGAAATTTAGAAAAAAATTGTGAGACGTTGGCGCTAAATATAAATTTGAGAATAGCTGGGTGAAAATGAGCATCGTAACTAGTATCAAATGGAGATTGGACAGTGAAGGTGTCGTCGAAATCGACAAAAATCCTCCAAAAACTTTTCATTTTCCCTTCGAAAGAAACTTTTTAAAACCATTTGAATATCATATTGAATAACCCAGTTATCCAACAAAATATCAATTGAATCCCTCGCCAAATGATTTTAAGCAACCTTTTTTTTTCATTCAGTTACTCAAACATTGTGTCTCATAGTCAAACAATTTAGAGCCAGTGTATTAGACCCAAATCTCAGATAGAGGCATGCGTGTCGCTAAAACGGCTGCTACCCGCATCCAGTTCAAGCGTTAATGATCGATTATATTATGATTTTAGTGCCAGTCCGAAAACTGAAAAACTGAAAAAAAATCGATTTTCTTCAATTTATAATCGATTATAATCTCTCTCTTTGAAATCAAATTCTAATCAATTATAATACAATTTAATCAATTTTTTTTCGATCTACTTTTCGAAACAATTTTAATCGATTATTTTAATCTCAAATTCTAGTTTATTTGCTGTCCTCACAAATCAATTATACTCAATTACCATACTTTTTGTTTGCCCATTTTGTCGTTGACCTCGTATCTGAATTGCTTTTAATTTATGCTTGTCGTAGACGTTGGTTGATGTTAAAAATGAGATATT